GAATTTAAGCTAGAGATTCCTAAGATTAACAGATAGCATTGAAAAATTCACTCGAGAGAAATGAAAGCGCAGCTATTGCTATAAGAATGGCTGGAGCCAAGGAGTTAGAATTAATTTTTGATGAGTAGCTCGAGTCAAAATCAGAGGCTCAAGAGTGAGGTCGATGCGAATTCAAACTTTAAGAGCTAATGAATTTGAAGTCCTGAAAAGAAATAAATAAATAAAGAAATAAGAAATAAAATTGAAAATAGAATTGTGAGCCGCACGCGTCTACGTTTGATTCCGCCCATCTTCTGAAATATACCTGTCATATTCTCTTTTCGGTATAAATCGGTCAGGTCGTAAAATAGTTGTAAGTTAGGAATACTGCTAGCTAATATTTCTTAATACTTATCTTGAGCGAAGAGTGGAGGCTTTCCTCATTATCCTCGACTACTTTTCCTAGGTTGTGAGGTCATATTATTGGTGTGCCAGTTCAACCACTTCGTTTATTTAGAAATCTAAAATAAAGTAATTAATTTAGGAATCCGTGTCACTGGAACGTAGGAAAATACTGCATGGTGAATGCTATTAAACGTCACTTTTACGTACCAATTTAGTTTATTTATCGCGATTTCTACTAAAAAAAAAATAAAAAGTATCGAAGCGAACAAATTTACGAACTGTGCGGAATTTTTTTTTGCTGCCCATAGTAAGAAAATAGTTTTTTTTTGAGATCATTCTTTTGGAATATCTGTTTTAACTTCGTTTTTCATTCGTGGAGGGGTTTACTTTTACTTTTTTCGGGGAATTCCCCCTTGCGCTTTTTCTCTCGAAACATGTTCGATTTGGCGTTTAACCGACCAAGTTAAATGCTTGAAGTTTCGGTTGCCCTGATTTTTTTCCATATTGCAGATAATAAATGGAACACGGTAATAATTTTAATGACAAAGATTCAGCCTGTTTAAGCAAAGAATTAAATGAAACACCTATGATTAAAGAAATTGAATCAGTTCATATCAATGACGAGGATTCACTAAGTGATGATGAATTAGATAATGAACGAGAATCGAGTTCATTGTTGTTAAGGTCGCGTCCTTTTGAACGCAACAGTGAAGATGATATAACAACCAAAGCAGACTATGAAATGCGAGTTAGAAAGGTTATTTTTCAATTCAGTTTTCTGAGAGAATTTTTTTTTCAAAAATTGAGATTTTTTTCGTTTTTTCAATTGTCTTTTTCAAGGAGGTGTCAGATGTTTTGCTGAAATTAAATGAAGAAATATCGGAAATAGAGGATGTGGAGGATTTTTTAAAAGTCGCAACAAGAATACTTCTTGCGAGATGGCGAGCACGAGACGAATCATCCGAAATTGCATTTCGTGTTAGTCGATTTCCATTTTTTCATGTGGAAATATTTTTTTCGCATTTTTTTATAAAAGATAATTCATGAATTCTTTCATTTCTATATAAATTTTTTTTCAAATCATATCTTTGATGGCTTCCGATCAAATTTAAATTTCCTTTTAATTTAAGTTTAAGTTTAAATTAACTTTTAAATTTCCAAAGGTAATAAATTATTAGCTAATTTTTAAATTTTTAAATTTTATGCATTAAATTTTTTAATTTTGATTTCATTATCTAGTCGAATTACCTAGTGGATGCGTGCAGTGCATTATTTAGTCTATCACGGTTCGGTCACTAGCATTGTCAGCTCACGAGAATGGTGCCCTTATCGTAATTATTTTTAATCGATGAGAAGAACAAATGTCATTTTTATCTTTGAATAAATAAGTAATAAATTTTTAGATTAATTCATTTTTCTTCTTCTAACAACTTTCACCATTACTGGTTAGGCTGACTCCAACTGCTACAAAGATAAGACACTTCCAAGCAGGGCGGTCTGATGATATCGTCGACAGTAATGGAAGCCATTCCTCTTTTCATCGTCTAAGTCCATATATTGCTGGTCCACCTATACGTTCAAAATCTTTTCTCACCGTATTAGTCCAAGTCCTGCATTGGCCCACCAAGCTTTTGACGCCAACCATCGCACGGTTTAGCAAATAACGAAATATGCGTCAACTCCTGTCGTGGACGACGGAGAATGTGCCCTAACCAGCGAAGGCGGCGCTGTGTGATAACATTATTTATGCAAGTGGTATTTGAACGAAGATGGATGCGATCTTGTGATATTTTATCCGCTCAACGGATCCGTAATATAATATGTACCTTAGAGTGGTCAAAGACAGATAACTTCTTGATATCCTCCACTCTCACTGGCCATGTTTCAGAACCATATAGTAAGATCGAACGGATCACGGCAATATAGATGTGGTAGATTTCTTTTTTATGGTGATTTCATGACGACTCCATAAAGATTTCGTTAACCGGAAGAACGCATTTCTAGCTGCCATCAACTAAGTTGTAATATCATCTTTTGCCTGTCCATTTGGTATTAGAGTGGACTCAAGGTATTTAAAATCGGGCACTTCCTCAATCGGCAATGAATTTACAAGAAGAGGCATTTTATCAACTTCTTGCAGAAAGACGAAAAGTCTTTCGTTTTATTTACATTGATCCTTAGTCCGATTCTTGCTGCAGTTGCTGACACGTTATTTAGTATTATTTGCATTTCATTATAACTGGAAACAGCAAAAAGGGCTACATCATCAGCGTATTTACAGTGTATTATTTAAGATCTATGATACGATGCTCCTGACTGATTTGTAAACCTGTTGAGAGTTACAAATGTTTTCCATTATCCAGTCTAACGCATAGTTGAGCATTGTAAGGGAAAGGACACAACCTTGACGAACAGGAGTTCTTATTTAGAAGGATTCCATCACTGCCTCATATATACAGACCTGCGCCAACGTACGTTGTTTATGAATTGAATTGAATGATCTCTCATCGCATTCCATCACCCTTCAAAGCGCTGCTCTATCAATTGAATCAAAGGCAGCCGCAAAGTCGATGAAACACGTGACAGTGGGTTGCAAATATCTGAAGCGATGTTCCAACACCCTTCTTAACGTGAATATCTGGTCAGCACAGCTGCCCTGGTCTGAAACCAGCTTGTTTAGGACTTATCCTGCTGTCATCTCATACTTCCATTAGTCTGTTGAGTAGCAGGGAAGCAAAGATTTTTGCAGAGATGTTTAGTAGGCTAATTCCTCGATAATTGTTACAATATTTCCTATCACTTTTCTTGAGAATTGGGAGCAGAATTGTTTTGCTCCAATCATCTGGTACTATTTCTTTTTTCGCTACTAAAAAGTACATTGTACATTTGTTGAAGGTGCGTTATGAATCTTATGGATAATTGAAATTATTTTTCAACATTTTACCATAATTGGACAGAAAGAATATTCAATTTTAATGAGGCTCGCTGTTACAAGCGTATGCTTCGGCAAATGTATCAGCTATATCAGGAGCATCAGATGGTATCTCTTACCATTTCACTGATCGTTCCCCAAGTCATAGTTGTTTTATGAAGAAGGCGGAATAGTTTCCTATTATCGCTTAATCGGGCCGCCGTCTCCATTCTTAAGGCCATATCACTCCAGATATCTGTCCCGCCCTGCTTTCGTTGTAAATATTCGATGCACCCGGTAGTCAGGATCATATTCGTTCGTTCTTTGACAGCTTTTTCAGATAGTTGGAATAATTGAACAGTTGCTTCTGATACCAAATTAGCACTTCCTACTAGTATGCCCTAGAAGTGGCTGATTTACGGAGGCATTCCTTTAGTTTGGACCAGTTTTCATTTGCCGTTCCAGAAAAATCATTGATATTTATATTATTGAAATGCTTTAATAATTCGGTTTGAAGTGCGCTTACTGTCCCTGAATTTTTCAGTTTGAGATAGTTGAAGAATTTTGGGATAGTTGAAGAATGCTGTTTTCTGCGAGTTGCCAATTTTATGCGGATCTTGGCTCCAACCATAACGTGGTCAGATCAGATCTAGTACGGAACTCTTCCATCGGCGACTGACTAAGATATAATCAATCTGGTTGAAGTGTTGGTTGTCCCGGGAGTTCCACGTGACTAGATGTTATATATGATGCCGGAAGCAAATATTAGTAAAAAGTTCATGCTCTTCGGCATAACGAAGAAGATATTCCCCATTGGCACACCAGTCTCTGATACCATATTTGCCAATTGTTGAGGTCATCACAGCTGCATTATGACCTACGCGAGCATTCCAGTCTCCCCCGATTATGATCATGTCATGTTTGGTAGAGGCTTTGTTAGCAGTTGAAGTTCCGCATAGAACTTATCTTTATCTATACTATAGTCATCTGCTAACAGAGTTGGAGCATAGACACTGATGATCGAGATATTGCAGAACTTACCCTTAAAACGGACATAGGCCATATGGTCGCTTACCGGTTTTTCAACATGACAATCGCTACGCCATTTCGTCCCAAGTTATTCGAAGCATCACAGTGATGTAGCCAGTATCTCTGCTCCCAACCAGGATTAATAATTACTCGAGACCCAAGGTGAGGAAGACGGACCTCCGACAAGCAAGCGATATCCACACGATATTTAGACAGGGTGTGGACAGTAATCGCTTGGCTTGCAACAGCCTTGGGATCGGTTTAAACCGGATTATGTATTTAATGCATATATCACCGAGCTCGGAGTATCATACGGGAAATACGGACGCCATATCAAGTGTATCTGACCCTTTCACTTGGAGATAGAGCAAGTGGATCCCAGCAATTACCCGGATTTTTGATGTGACAGGTTTACTCCTGTCAGAGACAGACATAATTATTTAATATTATTTTATTATTATAGATTTTGTATATATACTTATATATATTTATTTACTTATTATATACTTATACATATATATATATATATATATTTATTTCAATTCTTGGTTATTTTTTTATTTTTTATTTTAGAAAGAAAAGGAAGAAAAAGAAAGACTTAGTTCAAAATTCGATGATTATAGAATTAATCTTTCAGGGATTACTGTTTGTTTTGGAATTCTGCTTAACCTTTGCAATGCACCACGACGCGATATTCGACTATTTTATAACAGCTCTTGGTTATCACACAGTAGTATTCTGGCGCAATGCTGTACCTCTAATATACGATTCAGATTTGTCGCTTGGTACTCGTTATCGCGATTCACTTTTATTCTCGTTGGCCTTATATGATGTGAATAACAGTAAAAATCGACTCACGTAAGTTATTTATTATACTATTTATACTACTTTTTCGAATCTCATAAATTTAATTAAAAGAAAATTTTTTTGCATAAATCGCCAATTTTCGATTTGCGCTTTTTTGGAAGTAATATTCTTTTTAAGAAAAAAGTAATTGTTGATGAAAGAAAAGTTCTTTATTTATGGTGCATTTTTAACGTTAAACATTTTTTGGCATTTTTATCGCTATTATTTTTAGTGTTTAAAGAGAATATTTTTTTTTAGTGAATTGTATGCAGCAGTACCTGGTGTTCGTCAGAGTATGTTGGGTATACATGCAAAAAGATTTGGTGAAAAATATCGACATATGCAGATACTCTTTTATTTTTATTTATTTTGTTGTTAAGAATTTTTTCCATTATAATTATAGTGTTACTGTTACTAAAAATAAATAAATGCTCGCGCCCACCATTTATAGTTAGATTAGTTCCTCTGGCGATTAAAAATTTTTGCCAGGGACTTGATAGAATTATGATACATCGACAGCATTTTTAATTATTTTTAATGTATTTTTTAATTATAAATTTAGAATGATAGAAACTTTTGAGAAATAAGAATTCTTGCCTGTCAGCACGTTAATTAGCCATTCGGTTATGTTCTCTTATGTTTCGTTCATGAATTTGAACTCCAAATAGCCTCTTAATTCTCGATTTACTTATGGTAAAATAATAGAAGTTTAACTTATAGATGGTGCGAAGTCGTGTTAATTCACGGTTACCGAGCCGCATTGGCTCCGTAGAAAATTTAACAGATATATCAACTATTCCGGATGATGAAGAAGCCATTGTTGATGGTCATGCTGCTGGAGGTCTTGCAGATACAACACATCACAAGGCAAGTGTGCCATTTTCATGCATATAAATCCAACAAAGTTTTATTCTTTGAATATTTTAAAGAATGGGTAGCGGCTTTAATGAAATTTGTAGTTGTTTTTTAATTAATTGAAAACCTCATTAGCCATTAATATTGATTGAATTCTGTCTCATCATCCTTTTCAATTTTTCTTTTTTTACAATTCAGTTTTATTAAAAAATGTGTAAATGTACACGTTTTTAGCAGCGCGTTATAAATGTATCAAATGCTCCACCTGTTTCATTGAAGCGTAAAGATAGTGGTTGCTGGGAAATTCAACAAGGAAGTGGAGGATTGGTAGCATGCGTTGACCCAGTAATGAGCGTTGACAAGGAAAATGTTTGGTTGGCAAATATTGGCATACACTGGCAAAATATTTCTGATCGAAAGATGGATTTGGAAACAGTTGATTTTTTTCTTTATGAATAAATTTTTGTCTTCATTTGAAGGCAGATAAATAGCATGTTTAATATCTACTTTTCCTATAGGATTCCATGCCACTGTCGACAAATTCTCTCGGTTTGCCACTGCTTAAGCAAGCAAAGGCTGGTGAAATCTTTCATGTGCTAAGCGATGATATTAAAGCGCCTGATTTATCAGAAACTGAACGCAGTATCGAGTAAGATATTTTAAAACATATAATTGTTGTTATTGCTGGTTAAGATTAAATTTTTTAAATCGTTATTTCATTTCTTATGCTCAAGTCGCTTATTATTTTAGCACCGATGTTTTGCAGACATGATATGTCTCTTATATCTGTGCTACAAAATTATAACAAGGATAATTACAAGCTTTCTCCTGTTTTTGTCGACTCATCTGATTATAATACTTATTATGGGGGAATCAGTAATGGTTTGCTATGGCCGTCACTTCATAAATTACCAGAATATATCTGCAAAGATTACGATAATCCAGTTGTAAGTATTCTTTGTTTTGATGTTAATACGTTGTCGTCTTGAACGCGTTGCTAGTGATCATAGCGAGATGAGCAACTATTGTGGCTCGGTAAGGATTTTATGTAAGGTGGAAATTGGCTAGGTATCTTTATGGACCGTTGTTATCTATCTTGGCTGATTGCTGCTTCTGCTATTAGTTGCATAAGAAACGCGAAAATTTTCCTTAATCAGTTGATTTTCAGGAAATGTAATGGACGGTTTTTTGATGTTTTTAAGCGTCGGATGTAAAACACCGACACATCCCACCAGACACTGTTTTTGGATAGTATTTACAAAGAGAGGTTGACCTTTGTATAGCCCCAAAAAGTATTTTTTATTGTGAGTTCATTGTTAACATAAGGAAAAAAAGTGATTTGGTGGGAAAATGGGTTGAAATGCATTAGACGTTTGCAAGCCGTCAAGTTTGAGATTCTTTAAAAAGCTTTCGGTTTTTCATGGCTCTCCTGTCCTGTTAATGATAGTTATGCAACGCGATTTCTGTCGACAGCCTTCCATCAGAGGGTTAACATAATTTTGGTTTTTTTTTGCATTTTTGTTGGGTCTAAAATGATGATTTTATTTTTTTAAACGGAAATTAAAATAAGTTTCAAATGTCCAAAGGAGGTTGGAACTTTTCCGGTGAGAAATTCTTATTGAAATTTCGATTGGTTATTTAAAGTATTTTTTCTTAGATTGTTATTTCAAGTATTCTGTATCATAAAACTGGCATATTGAGAGATGCCCAAGCTCCATTTGATTGTGGAAATATATTACCCTAAATAACTAGTGGATCCTGATCAAAATTTTGACTTCTAACCATTGACTAACTAATCCACTAAACTATTTATTGCATACGACATTCAATTTTAGATTCTGCGAGAACATTGGTGTGCTTATGTTCGCGTTAACTATTTGTTTGCTATCAGCGCCGTTCGCAATGGGCGACCACAAGATTTCGTCTGGATTCATGATTATCATTTAATGCTTACTGGCCAGTTGATGCGGAGTTTGGATAATTCTTTGGAAGTATTTTTTCGATATTTAAAATAGGTCTTTTTTGCACATAACGCTTAAAGTAGATTGTTTTGTCATTATTTGATTATTTTTTTACTATGAGATAAAAGTAAGAAATAACAATGTGCGAGATTCGAACTACTGGTAATAATAAACCACGCATATTGGGAGTAAAGGATGGCTTAGTGGTACATCTTAGTAATAGCCGAATTTGAATTTGCGTCAACTTATTCTGTTCCTTGATGGAGGTAAATTTAGTCGTCATTAAAGTTTAATCTGTGTTATGTTGAAGGTCCATCCATACTTTTGTCGTTAAGTAATTCTTTGATTAAATTCTATGAATTTCACGTTAATTGTAAAGGTACCAAAAATGATAAGTCTTTAAGGGTAGGGTAATATACTGGCATTTTTCTTCAATTAAGGTCATGTATTCTTGGGTTGGAGGAACAAATTCACAGGAGCAAATCTATCATTAGAAACCTATACTGTGCTTTGTATAAATATCGTGAATGATGAGTACCGATGAGGAAAGAAATTCTTTACTTGCAAGCATAATTATTATAGTTATTATTTCATCTCTTGCAGGTTGGATTTTTCTTGCATATTCCTTTTCAACCTCCTGATGATTGGATGGTAAAATACAGGATTGTAGCAGAGCCTATCCTTCGTGCCATACTTCGTTTTACTAAAGTATTCAATATGGCGAAGAAATTTTTTCTTTCTATATTTCTGTATTTTTTTCAATTTTAATTTATTTCTCCATAATTTGAACAAATTTTTCATTCGCAGGTTGGTTTCCAAACAAGCCGAGATCGCCAAAAATATGTCGACCTTGTAAAGCAGTATGTGGCTAGAGCACGTGTCAGCTATGAGCAAAGTATAGATGTGTTCACTATAAATCATGAAGTATGCTAGACCTTAAACATTAAACTTTGTGAATATGAACCATTATTATTAAATTATTTATTATAAATATTTTATAAAAGTTAAGAAATTTCTGTTCTATGATATGATTATCATTCTGAAATGACCACCATATATTATTTAGCGTGAAGTTTGAAGTTTTTGATTCAAATTTACCATTAATTTGCAGGTTTTTATATTCTTGCATTTTTGTTTTATTTGCTCTTTATCATTACCAGTAGTAAACATAAATAGAGAAAGGGCAGTAGCGAGAAAAAAGGAAATTGTTTTACAAGGAAGTAGAAGTAAAATATTGATAAATTTCAACTATATATTCGAAAAAATGCGACTTTTTGGGAACTTTACATATTATAGGTTCTTTAAAACCTGTTATGTTATAATTTATGGAAAATTAAATCGTAATTATATTTCTTTAGCACTTCTCATCATCTTTAACCATAATTATATCTTCAATTCTTTTTCTGCAGTTTTCCTTATTAGTGGCTACAGCCGAGTTTGTTAACGGATATTGAACTTTGTTAATGCTAAATTACCTTAAGGGATATACATGTTCTCTTGGCGTATTTCCTGTTTCAATCAAGAATGAAGATTTTCTATCTATTGCTCGTTGTTCTGATGTACAGGCAAAAGCTGAAAAAATCCGAGAAGAAGTTAGTTCTCAATTCTTTTTACAGCTGATTAATAACCAGTATATTTTTTTAAAATCTAATTTCATTTTTTAAAAATTTTTAACATTTCGATTTTAAAATTTTGCTTTATTTTGGATCTTGCATTTTTTACAATTTTCAGATTCTTTCGAAAGGTTCTCCAAATGGATGTTTTTTCTTTTCCGTTGAAAGATTTGATTATACCAAAGGAATTAGAGAAAAACTGGAAGTTAATTTTTCACTTCTCTTGAATTGAAATTTTTCTATCCTTTTTATTATAATTATTTGGATCTAGGCATGGCAACGTTATTTTGAAACGTATCCAGAGCGCATAGGTATGGATATATTGTATCAAATAGCTGTTACAAATCGACGGTCGGTTAGGGAATACTGCATTTACCAGGATATTTGTGTTGAACTAGCATGCAAAATCAATCAGATGTTCTCTAGTGAAAAATACCCTAAATGGCGTCCCATCAGATTCGAAAGAGATGGTTAGATTTTTGAGATTTCTTTTGAGAATAGTTTTTTGAATTAATAAATGAAAAATAATCAATAATAGTGAATAAAACTCATTTTTCAAATCTTACGATAAATTATTATTATTGATATAATAGCTCTAAAGACCAATGTGACTAGAAAATGGTGCCGCACATTATCGAAATTATAAGCATTATGTTATAGGTCTTCCTCGTGCAGAACTTATTGCTCATTATTTGGCAATGGATGTAGGTGTTGTGACTCCCATAAAAGATGGTATGAACCTAGTAGCAAAGGAAATGCTTATTTGTAATCCTCGTGCAGCTCTTATACTTTCAAGTGGAGCTGGTACTGAAGTGCAGTTAGGTAATGCTGGCTTTTACGACCAAGAACGACAGTGTTATTTTAGAATAGACGACATCGGCGATGTGCAAGTAAAATTTCGAGTTTTTACTAAAAAATATTTAAAAGATAAAAAAATACACTTGAAGAAAAAATTTAAATTTTTATCAGACTTTTGCGGACACTTTCTATAAAGCAGCAACAGAAACTCGTGAAGTTCGAGAAGAACATGGTTTGTGTCTAAAACACTACCTTATGAATCATGATATTGATGAATGGAGTGCAGCTTTTCTTGATGCTTCATGGAATTGCGAAGTGATTCGTGCCAGCAAGGTGAGGATATTTCTGTCCAGAATTTACTTTTTAATCTTTGTAAATTTTTTTTCGTTAATTGGTTTTATAATCAAACTGGCTTATTTAAAGGTTAAGTATTATCTTTTCCATCAAGGTTCATAATACTAATTTAAATATCATAGCTCGTGTTCTTCAATCCATAATATATTAATTTCCTACTATTATATTTATATGTATTTCATAGTTAAAAAAAAAATTCAGTTAAATCTTCTGGCTGATTTTTATCAATTAATGGATAAAACGTGTCAAGTGCGACGGCAAATCGTTGAGCGTGTTCTCAAGGGTATACCAATCCGTCCTCAGTTTGGAGTTTCTTTGGAGAACGCAAAGGTATTACTAAGGTGTTGACAATTTTTTTGTCGAGAATATGTCGTATCATACTATTTTAATATTGTGGCTATCCTTTCTTTTAAGTTATCAAAAAAATAGTTATTTTTTTGGATGAAGTTTCCAAAAAATATTAGCTTCTGTTATTTAGCAAGGAAATTTTGAACATTTTGAACATATTTCATGGTTTTTTCTTAGTTTTCTTTGGAAGACTCATGCAAGCCTGGCACGCATACACTGGTTTTGGAGACTTCATCAGCAGGTGAGGATTCGGATGGTAGCAACGTTCATAACACTGTTAAATTCGATATCAGCAATGAATTGGAGGAATTGGAAAAGGATATCGCCTTTCTAAAGTTTATTGAAAGTGATGAAATAACCAACGTGGAACAATTTGTAGCGGTAAGCATGATTATATCACATCTTTAGATATTAATATCATCAATGATTGTAATTTTATCAATAAAACTATTTTAGACACTTGGACGTTTCCACCCTTCTGGTCCAGAAGCCTTTGCAGATGAAGTTGAAAAAACTTTCGATTTATTATCAACTGGCGATCATTTTCATTATTTATTTACCGATCGCGATGGCACTTTAAAGTCATATTCTTGTTCTTATCCAGCTAGCGTTCAGCCTGCTTATTCAGCTGTTATTCAGGTAGTTTTTTGTCAAGATTATTTCTTAATAATAATTATAATTGTAATATTAATAATAATAATTTTAATTTTTTTAGAGAAATGTAAGATAAAAAAAAGTAGGTGGATTTATATTGCTGTATATTCATAACATTATTACGTTCATCATTTATTCCTTAAATTCTCCACATTATATTTAAGGCTCAATTTGCAAGAAGATGTGCCCAGTTTTGTGCGATTGTTACAACTGCACCACTAATGCATATCGGTATTCTCAACGTCAGTACAATACCTGAAGGTATTTAGATTTTTTTGTAAAGACAATATTTTTTATAATAAATAATACAATAATAAATTATTTCCAATATTCGAAATATTTTTTTGGATATACAGTTTCTTTACTTCGTAACATGGTTTAGGTTATTATGCATATGGAGCATCTGCTGGGCGCGAATGGTATATGAATCCTGCTATGCAGTTCAAAGATGATTCTGTGAATGAAGCTGATTTGGCTTTATTAAATAGTGTCTTCGAGAAGGTTTATACATCAAATTTTTTTTGCAGTATATAATCTATTATTTCGTAAAGAGGATATTTAGCATTTGCTTCTATTGAATTATTTTCTTTTTAATTGTTTTTCAGATAGAAGAGCTTCTAGAAGACAATACATATCGAAATTTCACATGGATTGGTTCAGGTCTTCAAAGACATTATGGTCATATCACGATTGCACGCCAAGATGTGAATAATTCAGTTTCACGACATCGTTCTGCCCTTTTGTATACTTAATAAATTTTTTTATTAAATCTTTTTAGTTGCAGTTACAAATCTTTTTGTGCTTCTTACTTGTGCTAAGTTATATACTAAATTTATTAAATTTATATCTTATATCTTAGATTAAATTTATTCCATAGTTTTCATTGTAGATATCAAGCGGTTTCTAGAATTGTGCAAGATGTTGACCCAACAGCATCTACTCTAACTTTGCGCGAAGGAGAATTTGATTTAAAAATCTTCACCAAGGTTTTTCTGCTCTTTTTATTCTTTATTCAATATCTTCGGTAGATAATTTTGAGTTTGTAGAGAAACAATCGAATATATATATGCAAATCAAAGTGAAATATTATGTTGGGTAGAAAAATTCCAAAGAAACCTAACAGTAAGAGTTTTAATCATATTTTTATTGGTAATTTCGTTATACCTATTTCAGGCAAAGTTGTCAGGTCGTATATTCAACAAAGGTCATGGAATACGGTTAATTCAGAGGAAAATGGGTCTTAAAATGAATGATGGACATATTTTGGTTTGTGGTGATTCTGAAACGGATTTGCCTATGTTAGAGGAATGCCTTGCTTGTTCACCGAAAAATGTCTACACAATTTGGGTTACTTCCAATCCAAAACTTCAAGAAAAAGTACGCTCGGCGTGTGCTGCACGTGGCAATAATCATTTCATCTTTGTTTCTTGCCCTGAGGTTAGCCCTGAGGTTTTTTTACCCTTTTTAATTCTTCAGGTTTCTTTCATATCTTAGCAGCATGATTCATTAAATTAAATTGTTTAATTACTTCATGAATTAGGTTTGAAAATTTTTATATAAAAATCAAAAGTTCAGGTTTTGCTTGGAGCAATGGCAAATGCGACTGTCCGTGAAATTCGTATTCGACCTCGTACTGAAAATGACGATGAAGAATGAAAAGAAGCAATTATAATTTTTTGTAGAAGTGGTATTTACAAAAAATATAGCCTTTCTGTTTTCCTCCATTGCTTTAGTTTTTTGATATGCGATTCTGGTGGAAAAAACGAAATTTTTTTTCCATTCTTATTTTTTTTCTGACTTTTACGATTGCACGCCAGTTTATTTATGGCTTCTTGATGGCTTTACATTTTCCGTAAGTCAATCTCAAATGTTTGATTTGAAATCCATAACCTCAGCGAATTCTGTTTTTCTTTACTATATATTTTGTCTAATTTGCAATGCCTACCACCAAACTTGTTTTTCAATTCTTTTTTTATATGAGTTGAATTCGCATTAGATAATACATCGAAAAATTGCATGATTTAATTTTTTTTAGTTTTATATTTGGCAAACATAAAAGCGTTTTTCTCAGTAATATCAGTTTACAGGGAAATCAATTGTTATATCCATTCCAGTTTTCTTCGATATTACAAATAGGTTTTTAAAGAAATGTTTCATTCATTACTTAATCAATCTTCTTTATAAGAAGAATATCCAGCTATATCTAAGTTTAGTTTGTGGTTTATGTTTTATTTATCTATGTACTGATACGTTGTTTATTTTTGTTACTTTATTACTGATTATTTTTTTGCAGATAGTTTTAGTACTTATGAAGCCTATCATTATTGCTATTATCAGTTTATAAGTTCTTAAAAGTAAAGATCGCGGTTTTTTTTTAATCGATAAATTAGATGAAGATAAAATGAAATGAAAACAAAGTATGGTGGCCTTTATTGTACTATATTTTTTATTGATTATATTTGTTTATATCAAATAGTTGTAATGCGAGGAGTCATGTGAATTAAATTTGTTTGTAAAATTTCAAAATTTTTATTGCCAATAACGATTTAACAAAGTTATGTCACTGTTGATTATTTCTTCTAGTATTACTGGAAAAATATATATAATATATATACATATATATACACATAAATCAAAAGTCAAGAAAGAATCAAAAATTTATGACTTTTTAGCAAAATTAAGGTAGCAAAACTGAGATGGATTGTCAAAAAAGTTTTCATATGGAAATGATTAAATGTATTACAAATGAAATACCAAATTTTAGTTCTAGGGCAATGTTTCGATGTTTGTTATTTTATAAACAAATGATAAAAAGCATTAAGCATCGAATTATCAGCTAATATTAATGCGTAAAATTGTTTGTCAATTTATATTGCATTGATGTTTTGAAAATTTTTAGGATTCTGAGGTTTTATTGTTGGTCATTTTATTTTTTGAACAGCATTCACCACTGGTTCATAGCTATTCCACTAATTTTCCACTAATTTTAAGAGTTATATCTCTTCATATTCTTCATAGAGTTGCCGGGAAGTAGATATATAGAGGAACCTTTACTACCTGTAACATTTTGGTATTTTTTGAAAAAAAGCGTTTTGACAATTCTGTCCTAAACTTGCTAGTCAAATAAGTTCAGCAGTAGATAAAACTAAATTTAAAATCAAAAAGAATATCGTAGTTTCTGTTTTAACTGAGTTGACAGTGCGAAGGGCTTTCATTGTACGCTTTTCTTCGATTCTAACCTTTAACCTTCCTTTTTATTTGCAGTCTTATTGCCAGGTATTATGAGTTTGATTCCTTCACCCTGGCACAGATAATCTTGATTGAGAATAGCGGTTGAATGTTTATGATTGAAAGCACTTGAACTTTTATCTTCAAGTGACTCCAGTGAAAGAATCGCATTCTAGTAGTCGGTGGAGGCTGCTAAATTTGAAGTGGTGGTAAAAGGGTTACTCTCATTTTTGGTTACTCTCATTAGGCTTTCTCTCGTAGTTGTAGTTGGAAATTTTTGCCCTGGGGTCATTAAGCGTTAGTGCATGGGTCGCCAGTATTGGGTTTTTGATGACAGACTTCTTTCAGGAAGGAAGTTGAATTTTTGCTCCTCAACATGATGATCTGTGAAGAAGCAATAGTCTAATTGTTGCGTCACGAGCTACGTATCGATCTGAAATAAAACTAAATATCTAAATTGTAGTATTAAAAGCGTGCAGAAGTGGTCGGGGATCGATACGTTTTTTCGAAGATTCTTAACGTCGCGATGAATAGTACGTCGCACTACGGTTCAACTGCTATTTCTTCAGGTTTTTCAATAAAAATTGTAGAGATAAATAAATTTTCGAATAAATTTTTATTAAGTTTAATAAAAATTTTTTCTTTCTCTTCTTATTATAACTTTTAAACAATTTTGATTTTAGTTATTTATCAAATATTTGTTTTTATTTTTTGAATTCAATGTAAATAAGTAAAAAGTGCTAAATTTGAAATTTATTTCGCATTTTCAAAAATAATTAGTGAAAGAATAGAGAATAGTGGATAATGATTGAGATTATAGTATTATGAAGCAGGCTTCGGCTCCTTCGATTTCTGCCCTTAATAGGAGAAATCTTTAATACGAAGTCCAAGTGATGCTGGCGACACACCTTATTTTTGTAGCCAAAATACTGCCGAACAGGAATTTCCAATAACCAGCGGAATTAGCTTAAAATGAAATGGTGGGAGCTAACTGCATATTTTACTTAAAAACATGTTGTCAAATACTTTTAACAGGGAAACATACTTTATTTCGATGGTATATAGCCAGGTAGAAGAGAACTTTCGTTTTAATGGCGATTTTATAATAGTTTCATCAGAAAAAAAACTACTGAAATTATCTGGATTGCAACTTTGTCTTTCGCTTAGATGCCTGATGCGAGGCTGGATCCAAGAGGTTTCTTATTTCCGCAGCCCGTGATGATTTGATAAGCATAGGTATTTTATTGTGTAATATAATTGCAGATTTTTGCCTAATATTTCTTGCATTTTTTATAACAATATCATTCAACGCTTGCTATTAACCGTTTATTTCGTTCAGACAAGTTATAACGGAAGTCTATGTTCGAAATAAACAAAAAGAACTGTCATCAGCATGACTAAGTTATACATCATATTACGATCTCTAATATTATTCTCTTGGCTGCCAGCAGATGGCGTCCATTATCCACTCTGTTGCATGGCTGAATATTGTAAGGGAAAGGCCCTATGGCTGCCTGGTTTTTATTTCGAATGGATCTGTCAATTTTCCATATAAACGGACCGGTGTGCGCCGGTAAAATGCTTTATGAGTTGAGTGGTCTTCTTGAACACGGCCACATTCCTTACACGCTAAAGTATTATCATTTCAATTGAAAGTAGAGGTAAAATTGATAAAGCGATGATGCGCTGCCAATATTTGAAGTGTTCCTCTTTTTAGGGTGAATACTTGGTTAACACCTGTGCCTCGGTTTGAGTGCAGCCTGACGCATGACGCTATCTTGTACTGTCAATAAGTTTGTGGCAGAACGGGAGTGAAAATTTTCGTGGAAATATCTAGGAGGCTATTTCCGTTATAGTGATAGTACGATCCTTCTTGAGGATTAGAAACAAATAATGGTTTTAATGGTTCTATGCTAAAGAGAACATTGAAGGCGAATTGTGAATGAATTTGGACAGCATTCACCCCGAAGGTTTTTGGCCTTAACCTTTTAAATGACGGAAATTATTTCTTGCCATGTTGACGACTCGCGATTGAAAAACATGGTTTAACGAATATTTCAGCGAATGTCCGAAATTCTTCTTTTTCTTCTAACAGTTCTCACCATTACTGGTTAGGCTGGCTGCAACGGCTACAAGGATAGTCTTCCAGGCGGCGCGGTCTGTTGCTATCATCGACAGTAATAGAAGCCATTACTTTTTCCATCTTCTAAGTCCATATATTGCTGGTCCACCTATACGTTCAAAATCTTTTACTTACCATACCAGTCCAAGTTTTGATTGGCCCAACTCGCTTTTGACGCCAACCATCACATGGTTTAGCAAATAACGAAATATGCGTCAACTCCTATGGTGGACGACGGAGAACGTGCCTAACCAGTGAAGGTGATAACATTATTTATACAGGTGGTTGGTATTTGAACGAAGGTGGATACGATCATGTGATATTTTATCCACTCGACGGATCCGTAATATGTACCTTAGATAAGAATGGTCAAAGGCAAATAAATTCTTAATATCCTTGACTCTCATTGGCCATGTCTCAGAACCATATAGCTATGTAGATGCGGACTTCCAAATGTCCGAAATGGTTCATCATGATTAAATTTATTCTCAAATAATTCTTTTCATAGTATAAGGTCTGTCTAGTTTCATAGTAAGGTTCTAACAGGGCACACCATCACTATTTCATTTCACTAACATAAATTATGATTACTTTATGAAAAAGATGGAATAGTTCCCTCGCCTCGTCATATCACCAATCACAATTAATATACTCTCTGTGCCACTATTCTTGCATGCCTTGATAGTCAAAATCTTCTGAATCTCATTGTCACTTTTTCTTCCAATCATCTTTTTACTATCGTGCAGTTGCTAATTGCTATGGAATAATTTTGTCATTTTATCACCAATAAAGATTTGGCTATTATTTTGAAACGGTTTAAAATAATTTGAAACCATAGATTCAAAAGTAATTGCGAAACTGGAGAACTGTTAAATTTTAAATTAGGAAATTCCCACAAAATTCTGAATACTTTGTTTTTTCATCCATCTATCGCTCTATAATCCTATCTTCAATCTTCACGACAAGTGCTAGTAAATAGGAATCCTCTTATCCCAAAATAATCTCTTAACAACCTCCCACGTTGCGATATGGGGCTTCTTCAATTTTTCATTCATCTTATGGAACTAGAAACAATTACTATACTATTTTTTTTTGGAACTTAATGGATGTGTTGCATATTAATTGTCAACGATCCGAAATTCCATTGAAAGATTGGTGCATGGCATTTGTAAGGGATTTAAACTTTGTGGGTTTATAAGGGGGGAGAGGGGGTAGAAATAATGGAATGACATGGTTATTTGATTCGCGCACATATTCGATTCTCTGCTCCAAAGAGCAGTAGTAAAAATTCGATTGATCTATATCGCCAAGTTATTTCTTGTACCGGTGAGGTAAACAGCTAATTAGAAATAATGGACATTAGCTATTCAAATGAGCTACTTAAAATATCGTTTGTATGGAATTTAATAGCTTCTTTAAAATATTAATTTTGGGTTAATCTAAGATCAAAAAAATTCAATTCAAAATTTAAAACTTAAAGTGTAAAAAACAACTTGAAATTTAAATTGATTTAAAAATTTAAAAAATTTAAAAATTTTGCTTGCTGAATTTAATTTTCATTTTTAAGATTTAAAACGAGTAAGTTGGTCGAAATGGAAATTACAACGTCGTCATTTATTTGCACTTCTTGCGTTTTTTGGTTTCGTAAATATCTATGCGATGCGAGCCAATTTATCGGTGGCAATTGTTCAAATGACAAGCAATACCACACAATTCATCGATGGTACTCTTGTTGCTGTAAGTTTTCCCTTTTTTCCGCTACTTCTTATTCATCTATTTATATTTTTTCTAAAATCAATTTTGTGTACTGGATGATGTTGAGGTTGAGGACTTCTGTCCTCAGATTATTTTATGGCTTAGAACCGCACATTCTTAGAAGAAGATTTCCATCAGGAGGCGAGAATCCAACTTATGCTCCTTGATTATAGTCGAAGGAACATATCCGATACATCGTCATTTCAAAAATACTAAAAGTATACTCACTTTTTTTTAGTGCAGTAAAGATTTATTAATTGACTTTATTAATTTAATCTTTGATCAAATAAATATCGAATAAATTAAAATTTTTCAATTGTTCACTCTTTAAATGTCTTTGGTCGAATTAATTGAATAAAAAGATAATTTTATATGCGATGTTTTTATGAGCCATATTTCTATCTTTATTTATTTTTTCAGTTCAAACCAGAATTTGGTGAGTGGGATTCAGTTACGCAAGGAACTATTTTAAGCTCATTTTTTTATGGCTATATTTTGACACAAGTACCAGGTGGTTATCTCGCACATCGTCATGGAGGAAAACTCGTCTTTCTGCTAGGCGTATTTGGTTTGATTTTTAAAAAAAATTTAATTTCATCTAAACAGTTTAAATGCCGTTACTTTTAATACTTTGATCTGGCACTTTGTTCTGGTAAACTGTAAACTTTAATGTAACTTTGATGTAAACTTTTAAGGCAATCCAATAAATGGTCTTCTAGAGGTAGTATTTTTTTTTAGTACAATGTTTTCGAGTTTTTTTAACTTTCCATTTTAAAAATAAATTTTCTTTTAAATTAAAAATAAATTCAGAAGTGAATTCAAATTTTCATTAAGAAAGAATTTTTAATAAGATTTCCAGGAACAGCTGTTTTAACCATTCTTACGCCACCTTTAGCGCATATGGGGAAATACTTGTTAATTGCTGCGAGATTTTCTGAAGGAATGCTTGAGGTATTCTTCATTTGAAATTAATGAAAATTGTTCATCGGAAGTTCTGAAGTTTTAACATTAAAATTTTTTATTGTTGAATTTTCACTGAAAGAATTCGAAAAAGCGAGATGTAACCAAATTTTAGAAAGTTGGATAAAGAGAAATTTTTTCGATAAAAAGTATTAGGATTAGTATCAAGCTGATAGGTTCATGTATTTCAATTGAATGGAAATTTATAATAAAAAGTTGTCAAAAATTTTTTAGCAATAGAGCGCTATATGTTTCTCAGAAATTAAATTTGTTTTCAGGGAGTGTAAATTTGTTTTCAGGGAGTGACATATCCGGCAATGCATGTGCTTTGGATTCATTGGGCAACACCAGTGGAAAGGACTCAGTTAGCGTCTTTTGCATTCTCTGGCGCATATATTGGCACCGTTTTTGCTATGGTTATCTCAGCGATCCTCGGACATCATTTTGGATGGCCATTAATTTTTTATTTTTTCGGTAATCTTCTAGAAATTTTATTTCATTCTATTTCATTTTATTGCTTGAATTTTTTTCTTTTTCTTCAGTACAATATATCTACCGATTATTTTAGAATATAATCTTAAATTCAGATTGCCTTAGATTCTTGAATAGATAATGCTTTTTCCATGTTTTGTTCGATTAAAATGTATATTCTTATAAATCTTATGAAATTTAGGCTGCTTGGCATTTGTTTGGTGTTTTATTTGGATAAAATATATAAATGATTCACCAGGAAATGACCAGTACATAACAACTGAGGAGCTTACTTGGTTGCAAAAAAATTCTCAGAGTACCAACTATCTTGTATTTTATTTGTAATTTTTGGTAATTTTGATTCCAACTAATTTTAAAATTTTAAAAAAATTTTAAATGATAATTTAATAATATGATTTAAAATGACAATTTAAATGATAATTTAAAAATTTAAAATGATAATTTAATTCATTTGCTATGGAAAGAAATCAGAGGCAATATTATTCTTAATCATTTTTCCAGAAGTTTTGGAAAAATAAGTCAGAATTTGAATTGTAAATTATTCTCTGTAGGTAGTTCCATGGAACAATATTTTCACCAGCAAAAGTGTTTGGGCAATTGTTACGGCACATTTCTGTGAAAATTGGGGTTTTTATACAATGTTGACGAGTTTACCCCGAATTTTGTCGGATTTGATGAATTATGAATTAGAAAAGGTTTTATAATTTTGCTCTAAAGATTGTTACATTTCTTATTCATCACTCATACTATAAGAAATTTCATTTTTTACTTTTGTTACAAATTTTAATTTTTAATTCAATCATTTTATATTAGAAATGTAATTTTTATTAAAGGCAGGCTTTTTTGCTGCGTTACCATATTTTTTGCTGGGAATTGTATTAATAATTTGCGGAAATTTGCAAGATATTCTTCGTGATCGTTATATGTGGTCAACAGTCAAGACACGTAAATATTTTTGTTGCTTGGGTAATCTTTAGTAGTATTAATCTTTTTTTCATTTCTTCTTTCTATTTATGAGATAGGTAATGTTATTAAAGAAAAATGAGCTTGAAAAGTATTTGGCTAGAAACTAGTTCATTTTATTTGGAAGTTTTTTTGATGAAAATCTCTTAGAAAAAATTATGGATGGTTTAAATTTTTTACTTTATCTTTAGAAAGTTTTAAATTTATGAAACTTCTTACTTTTCTTTAATTTTAATTTCTTTAATTTTGATTTTGAGTGATTCAATAAAATTTCTGATAAATTTTTTTTGAAAAGCGTATATATGTTGTTCAGTTGCAAGTCTTTCTAAATTTTTTTTTTTTAAATCATTTTTACTTGAAATATTTTTTCAAATTTATTGATAAATAATTAGAGTAATAACTAAATATGTGATTTCCCTGCGAATAATTCGCTATTCTTTTTCATATATTTGCAGGTTTTATTTGCCAGGCTATTTTCATATCATTGGCTGCTATTCATGCTCCGGCCAATGTAGTAATGTTATCAGTAGTTGTTTCGATTGCTTTAGGAGGTCTTCCGTGGAGTGCGTTTTCTGTTAACCATCTTGATATAGCTCCTCAGGTGGCAAATTATTTGAATTTCTATTCTAAAATTTGAAGAATTTTCGAGAGAACAAATAAAAGGAAAAGATAAATTTTAAAAAGTAATAAAATTTACGCCTAACACAAAAACGATGACTTACGACGAATTTTTTTTAAATTTTAGGGATTTTATATCATATTTTTATTTAGATCATTTGTTTATATACTCTTATTCCTTTTGCTTTGCTCTGATATATGAGATTGCTTTTATTTTGAGGATTATATTTATAAGGCTTATTTCTTCAAAAAGTTTTTTTTTATTGGTTTTTCTAATGGCAAATGCTGAAAGAATATATCTACATTTCACCTTTATCTACATTATCTATTTTATTTGCATTAAATATTTATGTTTTATTTGTCAGCTTATGATAATCTTTCTTTAAATTTGTTACATTTCCCCGTTCTTTTTAGTATGCTGGGCATTTGATGGGGTTATCTAATACGATTGCAACATTACCAGGCATGTTTAGCCCAATTTTCGTTGGTTTTATCGTCACCGACCATGTAAGATTTGGATATCATTTTGTTTTTATTCAATCTAATCCAGATCATTATTTTTCATTCGTATTCTTTTCATATTGTTGTTGCGTTTCTTTTTTAAACTTGCCTTACATATTTACATTCAGTTCACCAATTTATATATATTCAGATCATCTAGAGGTTTTAGATGCCGAATGAATGGCATATTATTTTTCTGGTAACAGCTGGAATCTATCTTGTGGGTGCTTTTATTTACTGGCGTTGTGCAAGTGGTGAAATCCAAAACTGGGCATCATTCCATGAACGTTCGGTTATGGACTGATTTACATTTTGATACAGATTTTCCGAAATTTTTCATGGCATTCGCTAATTCATTAATTGTTTTATCGAATTTTTTTAAACGTTAAAAAATCTTCATTTTTAAAATGCCTTGAGCTAATTTATCCAGTGATATAATCGTACATTTTTATGATAGACTATTTTCATAGATGTTTGACACGGAATGAGAATGGGAATAATACAATAATATAATAGTACTTGGCGTCGGCAGTTATATGTCCAAAATATGTTTAAATCTTCCTCCGTTTCATTTGTGTCATCGATGTATATTCCTTATACACCTTCCAAGTTTATATTTTTATATTACTGCTTTACACTTAGCATCCTCTTTAAATCCTGTTTTACGCAATCATCTCCAGCCCAATTCTTTTCTATTGAGCATTATGCTTCTTTAGTCCTCTCTTATGTTTCATTCTATTCTTTATTGGACCTTAAAATGCCAAATTCCTTTATTATCCAGTTTGATCCGGTGTTACATTTCATTATCTTACTGTGAGAAAGATCTATTACAATGAATTGTGGATCGGTATATCGGTATCGGTATATGCTGATTTAACCATCACAACATTAGTTATATCTCTTGTACTTTTTTATCGCTGGCGGCAGAACGCTTAAATTTAGATGATGCCAAATGCCAAAAATAGCTGAATGATTCTTGTTCTGCTTATCATTACTTCTAGCGCTATGGCTTGATCCAAATTTCATAAGAGAGCAATATCAAATCAAATTTGTTAGTAAAAAATCCGATAGTGCTTAAAATGCTTTAACCATCTGTGCTTCATCTTTACTTTTATCGAGCTTTCTGGTAAGTTCGTATCATCCTATTAACAGCCAGTGGAATCCAACCAGAAGTGATTGCTAACCATTTATTTATTTTCTTAATTCCCGTTGTTTTTCTACTTTTCCTGTATACAGCTGTTTTTTTGCATTATCGTTATTTTCGATTGCTTCTCTATTATATATGTTTCCTTGTTAAAATGTGCTTGTGGAATGTTCTAAATGTTGTTCGGTCGTTTTTTTCTAATAAATATAAGAGCAGTATATATAATATAATAAATTAACTTTCACTAAATTATCTTTTTAGCACTTTTTATGTAAATTACTTCTTATCTGTGATAGAAAAAAACATGCATTCATTCAAGAGAATAAATTAAGGAGATTTTCCAGTCTAATGAAAAATAAAGTGAAATATGAAATATATTACATTATATCGACGATATGCACTTTAATTTCAATTGCTACTTTCTACTGCTTAATTTATTTAATTTTCTGGTCCTTCACAACTCTGCTTTGGAGGAGAAACATAAATGGTGAACTTGGAAAATGTTGAGAGGTTATTCTAAAAATTAATTTGTACTCATCGCTATCAAACTTGCAGCACTGGTTATTAGTATGAACTGAAGTTTTTGCCACTAAATCAAAAAAACCCTTTGGGAGGCATGCAAGCTGCACTTCGCTCTGAAGGCCTCTTTCATTATTGTGCTTTCGTAGTGCTTTCAAAAGTTAAATATAAATATGCCACTGATTTTAATTTCGAATTATATGCGGTCAATTCATTCTCGTTTCAAAAATCCGGTAATTGCGCAATATAGTAATTATACAACTGTTTGCTTTTGCTATCTATCTGTTCAAGCAAACTTACAGACAGAATAGTAATTTAGTAAAAATTTAGTGCATATTTCTTGGATTAGTCATTATAGGTGGTATTTATTGGCAAGCGGATAGTTTTATTAATGTCGATGCTTAAGACTAAAGGCTTTATGAATTATGGAGATACCATGAATCTAATATAAGTCATGAACGATACCTACCGTTCATATAAAATCAGTGCATCATTTCTGAAAAATTCATTGTTCTGATTTAGATTCATTAAAACCGGCTTTAAAAGCATTTATTATTACAAAAAAATTTAAATACACAAGGTACGCTTATATGCTTCTAGAAATGGTCGCTAGTGCTGCCGAATTACAAATATTGAAAAAAATTGCCGGATTATTCGATAATTTCTCGAACGAGCGAAAACATTGCTTACCACACCATAATAAAAAAGTTTTAAAACTGTATTAGCGGAGAAATAAAAATTTTGCAAAAAAGAAGAAATTTTAAGAGACACGTCGATGAAGGAATGAAAAACGGTGCAGTAATCCGACAGCAAAAGCGCCCTTAAATATTTTAATTTAATGGTAAATGGCACATTATTTTTATTATAGTTGGCACCACTCAGGGATGTCGGTTTATTCGAAAGATAATATAGATGTATACGATTGAGTATTGTAAATGAGTTGTCAGAAATCAAGCAACTTGTGCTAATTCTTCTTGAGCTCCAGTCGTTATTAAATGCGCAAAAGCTTTATAGTCGACCATACCGTTTTCAATGGGTGGTTTTCCCTAAAAATTTATTTGATCACTTCAAGCATATATGGATTTTAGCTAGCCGTAATTCTATAGAATGAAGTATCACCTTATACATGGCCTTGATTTCGTCATCATCAAGCGGTTCACCTCGTTTATTCTGTAAAATTTTCAAAAGTTCTTCCTCAGTAAGTCTACCACAGTCTTTCTTATCGAACATTTGGAATGCGCCGACTATTGTCGCTTCAGGATCAGTGCCTGAAATTTTCTGCCTTTGAATTTTCGATTTCAGATGCAGATGTTTGCTTAGAAATATAAAACTTGAGATAAATAGCAAAACAAATGAAAGAAATGAAGGTTCGATATCCACAAATTAAAAGTTAAAAAAATCTGTTAACTCGCATAATCTATTTGGTTTGGCTAAATATGACTGGAGCAGAGTAGATCTAGAGTTTTGATCGAAAAGCAATTCTGTGCAAATCTAACAACTGAATGCCGAACTAGACTGCAAGAATTTATGAGCTTAATTAATTTATGTTTATGTCGCTATTTTCCATATTCATGTATGTTTATCTGCTTATTTATAAGTTAATAAAAAATGTAAATGCAAGATTTTTAAAAAAAACCTGTCAATCGTTCTCCGAATAAGGTAAGGAAGACGGTAAAATTGATTGGTCCTGGTGCTTCTTTGATCATCGAATCAATTTGTGTATCAGAAGCAATTTGTCCCATCATTGCATATAAATCTTTTAAATCTTGTTTATCAATGATCCCATCTTTATTTTGATCCATAATACCGAAAGCTTCCTTGAATTCTTGAATGGTTTTCTGATCGAATTGAGCGGCTTCAGATCCCGTTCGTTTTTTACTTGTTTTCTTCTTGGCTGCTTTTGACTAAAATTTTATTATGAATTAATTCCATAAATCAATTATATTTCATTTTAATATATTTATTATTTTATTTTTAATATTAAATAATATTTTATATATATTTTACATAATTATATATTTTTATATAATTTTATATATATAATTTTACATAATTTTATATATGCTTTATATTTTTACCGTCTCAATTTGATCAAATAATTCTCAGTTAATGCTTACTAAATTTTGACAAATAATTTAATTTTAATGAATAGATTGCTTTAGTTGTATTTCTCGCTTTTACTAATATTACTTATATAACTTGCATAGTAATTTCGAGAACTGTAGTTCGGTGCCTATCTTGATTGGAATGAATTTGTCAATTTGAATTCAAAACCCTCGTTAAGATGGTCTCAAGTGTTTTTAAATTAATCTTATAAGTAAGATTGCGCCAAAAAAAGGCTCTGAACTCCGGACTTTCGATTTTCAATATTTCATATTTTAATATTTTCTATTAAACACTCTATTACTTTAAAAATTACTATCCAAAAAGAAGTGGGTCGTCCAAATAAAATCATGCACAATACGATATTAACGAATAGCAAAGATTGGTTCCGCTATGGTGCAACTTTGCTACCGTATCAATTAGCAAATAAACGAAAAAAATAATGTAAATTCCTAAATAATAATAGTAATATTAATAGGAAGAGCTCACCATTGTATTTGATGAACAACGCTGAAACTAAAACGATTTAACAAGTGCCTATTGGACGAGTATGCTGGCGTTTACACTCGTATTGAAGCCTACACTTTCAAACAATTTTAGCTCGTGCCGTAATTTTACAACGTCGCTCCGCCTGTTAAACAAAGTATGAAGGTGAGAATGAGAATGAAGACTGCTCGTATAGCTCTGCCGATCTCTATCCTCTATCAAACGCCCCCTCTAAAACCACTTATCCACAACTAGTTTTCTCTCAAACCAAACCAAAATTTCGATTGGATCAATATTCTTGAAAAATTATTTGCAAAGCGACATCGATTTTCTTCTTCAAATCCTTCGAATATTAAAGTCAAAAAAAAAATGAATTTTATTAGGTCTATAAATTTTTTTAAAATAATTTTTGAAATCATTGAAGAAGTTTTTATTAAAAATAAAAATTTTTATTGAAAATAAAATTAAAAGCGAAATTAAATGACTTTAGTGTGAATTATATTTTTCTGATTTTGATATAATTGATTGAATTTTAGATGCAACATTGATTTTAATTTTTCTTATTTTTAGAAGTTGATCGAACTGCCTGAGCTTGTGTTGTAGTTTAAGAGTATGGTTTCTAGCCAGATTTGCGTCACTGGCGATATTTAGGTGGATCGGCAGAAGCACTAAGATTTTTTAAATAAGTTCCCTAAGCATATACTCGCCTCTGAACACAATCCCAGTAGCCTTTTCTACTTAGTCCTTAATTAACAACATAAACAAAATCTTGAAAATTCACCATTAAAATGATGAAATAATAATTAAAAATTATAATTTTGAAAATTTTGAAATAACACATGGATAATTATGTTTAATTTACTTTTAAAACTAATCCGATGGAGGAAGAAATATCTCAACACGCAATTTGCGCAAACTATATTTATGATTTCGTTTTAGATGATGAATTTTCAAGATTTATACTCAATTGATTTTATTTTTTAATGATCATTTAGCGAGCTTTAATTTACATTTTTAAATTTTCATTCAAAATTACCAATTCACGAATTTTTTGATGTTTCACAATATGGAATGAACGATGAAGTGAAATGACCGATGACTGAAGTGAAATTTGGTAGCCTATAAAAACGGCACAAAAAAAAGATTAATAAAATCATTAATTGGAAACAGTGGGATGATGCTCGCCTGCCAGCTTTAATTATATTATAATTACCTTGATCCGACTGCATTATCAGGACAGGACAGTAGAAAGAATATTGATCACCGCATATATAATAAAAATCTTTATTCGTTACCCCAAACTTGGGTAATTAGACCAATTAATATAAAGTCAAAAAAAACAAACTTCGATTAAACCAAATAGATCAAAAGGAAAAAAATAAAAGGGCAAAGGACACATTAAACGAATGAATATTTTAAACATTAATATTAATATAATAACAACATTAGGTCTCTTAATTGCGGCTAACAAGGGCAGAAGCATGATATGGTGCCTTAAAGTGCAGAAGAAAGATTTTCATAAATATGCAACATATACTGTAGATTATCCTTTATGTTTTTTTGACGTATAAAGTAATTTAATAACCGAAGAATCAATTAAGAAAGTTTTCTTTGGTGGGTCACCAGTTTGAAATAATGATTTAAGAAAATGCATCGCATTTCGCGACACATATTATGTTGATTCTTCACATAAGTAACGGACATATAGTGAAATAATTAAATCGTATAATTACAATAATTACAATTATAATTACAATAAAAATATGCTACCATAGCGCAACCACATACATAAAATTTTTATGAAACTTTAACATGAACTTAATTTTTATTGTAATTTCTCGATTAATACTCCACTGAAATAAGCGCATTTAATTATTTTGCGTGTATGGAATAAATAATCCACAAATTAATAAGAGATTTCGTCACTCAGAAAACCGTATGATAGAAAACTGGAAGAAAATTGATCATGTGCATCTGCAGTAGTAAATTGCAGTAACACCTTTGGTAGGTTTAGTTTTGGCGATTGAGTTGAATAATTCCATTTTAAGAATAATTTAATTGATCTAAGTTATCAATAACCCTGGAGCTATGATGAAATCAATTGAGATTTTTTCATATTTATTTGTTCCATCTACATTTCATTATGTTTAATTATTTTCACTTTATATTTTTGCGAATTTTTTTATCAAGAGATCGTATAATATACTAACAAAAACGTATGCAAAAAAATTTGTGGTCCCATACCATTTGCAAATAGAAATCGGAAAAAAATTGTGGCTTTTTTCTTCTTTTAACAAAACAACACATTCAAAATTCCAAGTTTATAAGTAAATCAGGCTATCTGTTGGACAAAAAGTCATTTGCATGGTTGCCGAGATTTTTCGAGAATTCTACAGGTAATCATGTCAAATGATTCTCTTCTCAAAATTTCTAAACTTACTGACGACCAGCAGACGACAAATTCTCCACAAAAAATGAGCGCTAGTCATTTAGTTAGTTTGGAGATCTTACACTCAAATTTCACTTTTAATTACAAGCCTCATTATTTCTTTCCGTCATCAAAGCACAATGCACTGAGTCCACCATTTTACGCTCTTTATTTCCAGAAAAAGTTCGTGAATTGTTTGTAGAATATGTTGTTGACATAACAAGATCACAATTAGCATAATGATTTCTTATCAAAATTGCTTGAATTTTGCGTATATACCATAATAATTGTTGGCGATATAATCGTTGTGTAAGAATTGTTACCAGTGGATTTATCACCTCAAATAATATTAAGTTATTAAATCATTTTATCAAAATATCGAAGAAGGAAATTTTAAACTAAAATTTAATGTGATGAAAATAAGGAAAGGCAAGAAAAATATTTATTTGTTGGTTATCCTGCGTTCGCTGATAATATATTAATACGTTCTTTATCACTGTTTTAATTTTCCAAAAAAAGTTTAGTCTAATTGTCTTTCTTGCTCTATTGATCCTCATGAGCAAATATGAATGAAAGTTTATGCCTCGTCAGCGCTAGAGCGTCGAAAATGCTGAGAAATGTGGCAACAAACCATTCCAAGGACAAGAATTCGAAAGAAAAAATCAGTAGTAGTTCGAATTGCTTGAGATGGGCAATAATTTATAATCCAGTGGCTTCGTATAAGGATTGTTAAATATAAAACACGATATGGCAAACATGTGAAAAATGTCCACAAAGTACTACTGAATAGGAAAAATAATCGACGAAAAATTTTCTGAAAGGAACACGAAAATAAATTAGAAAATAAAAAAAATATTGCGGTAATAAGTTCTACAAAAGCAAATATAAATTATAAAACGTAATTTTTGGTAACTAGAATAAATATTTTTGTTAGAAATTTTCGCGAAAAAAAGCTAGTAATAAGGTAGTTAATCTTATAAATAAAAATAAATGAACAAATAAATAATCTATTGGGTGGCAAATAAAAATTGATAACCAAATATCGAAATAAATATAAACAAGTGTTTAGCACTTATCATTTCTGGCAGGGCTTACTCTGCTGACTGTTAATGAATTTAAAGTGTGGTGCATGTATAATGAAGAAGAAATAGCAAAACACTAAAAATACTAATACTGAAATAGCAAAGAACAACAAAGAAATAACACTAACACTCCTTGTTTTGCATTCCGTTCTTCCTTGGTTTTGAGCTATAATATAAATTACTAACGAAATACTAAAGCAACCAATTATCAATGCAATATATAATATACAGATGAGAATATAAATTTGTACAGGAACAGATACTCGGTCACACTGATGCTAAAATTTCTTCATTTATGAAATAATTTCGAAAATTATTAAGATATAGTTCAGTAAATTCAGAAAATTATATCAATATTAAATTATATTATTTTATAATTCGAACAAAGGAATATAAATTTCAGTGAAAGAAGTATTTCACTGCCAAAACAATTCAAGTAAATTGAGTGTTAAATGCAATTATGAGGACAATAAACAATTTATGAAATTGAGCTTAAGCTTAAATGATGCTTTATAAAACATTTAATAAATAATAATAATTATTATTCGCAATTTTTAAAAGATTGATCGCGAGAAAGCTGCTTGAAAAAGCTTAAAAATATTCATAGATATTTATAACGAGAAAAACCAACCGGTTCAGATACATATTCCATAAAATAATAACCAAGCGTTGATAAACTTGTGATAGTAATCCAAGTAAATAATGATAAGATTAATAAACGCATTCGATTGACAACCGAGTAATAATGAAGAGGAAATTGTACAAAAATAAGTTTATCAATATTCAGCCTAAAATAGATTTTTTTTTTCGAAATCCTCATCAATACTTTTGGCTCCATTTTGAATTGCAAATTTGAACTAAAATCTCGTGATCTTTGGAATTCCCTCGACTTATCAGAATCACAACTTATCACAACTTTCTATCAATTATTCTTTTCCTTTTAACGCAATTTTCGATTTTGCTGACTCTATTGAGGACTGGAATTGTCGTCAGAGATTGGGGAATAAAAGTACAAATAACTGCAGCACCATCTTTTCCAGTCAAGGTTTCGCAACAAGGAAGAAGAATCAATCATTAGCCGAAACAATGTGGTGCACAAACAGCAATCATTTATTATTTCCTAATAAAATTTATTTAGAAAAAAATCTCAAATATCACTATTTGGAAAAATATCCAAGCAGAGAATGCAAAGACATGCGCTTATGTATGGAAATAATCACTTTAGTTTTTATTATACTTAATGAAAACCCAAAATGTTTCAGGTTTTTTCCATTTTACAGTGGAATTTATATTTTCCGAGGCTTATAACGAAATAACTGGCTGTTTTTCAATAAGCCTATTGGATGTTAAAGGTCGCCTAATTTTTTCCTAATAACCTTTTTTTCTATTTTCTAATAAGCACTATTACCAAGATATTATGCGTTTTACACGATCCTCGGTTTGTACAGTCTTATTTATAAAAGCTTTTGAACATTTATATTATTCTATTATGTCATAATAACTGCTAAAGGATTTGAAAATCAAAAAATTCTGAATTAAATTAATTTTTTACTTCGCAGCTATATGACGACATAAGAAAAATTAATGCGCTAATTTTAATTTATACCACAAAACGATGAAATTCACGAATGTAAAAGAATTTTCCATATTTTTTGTATTAGTTTTTAAATTATTAAAATCTTTTTAAGAATTCTTTTTTCCATCATTTCAAGTTTTAGAACAGCCTTTAAAGCTGTAAGAAAGTTCTCCAGCTAATGGCTAATTTTTTCTACATTTTTTTGTTTAAATAATTCATTTAAGGAAAATTCATTTAAGCTTTTGGATTGAAAATCTCAAACGTAATTTGAATTGAGATTTTTTTTGAAGACAATGGCTTTAAAATTTTTCTAAACTAAAATATAATTCCTCTATAAACATTGCCGGATTTAACACTTATTTACTTCGCAGCTATATGACGACATAAGAAAAATTTGTTGTTATAAACTTTTTATTTTTTATTGGATGTTATTGGATGGATATTTTTTATTTTTTAAATTTTTAATGGGATAATTTTCATTTTTAATTTCCTATTTTGATGGCTCATTTAGTTGGTAATTATCTAATTTGCTTAGCGGCTTCATGATCATTATCATCAATAATTTATTACCTCTCATATTTTTTAAAAAAAGAAACACAGCAATAAAAATGAACTAACCATAACAAATTAGTACAACTGGCCAATTGTACGGCAAAAATTAGGACGTAATAAGGATAACAAAATAAAGCTGGAACATCTGATAAGTATGGCCTTGTTGGCATATATATTAAGCACATTAGCAAATCAGCTACGCTCATATTTATTACAATAATCTACAAAGCTTTCAATTATATGATTATACTGCACAAAAAGATGCCACAATCCTATAGTTTTCAGATTATAAAGGGCTATTGAAAGGTAAGAGGATTTAAGCGTTAAGAAATTGATATTTTCATGATTAATCTGCCTAGCAATCCACAAAAAATTATCATAGCAATATTTTAAAATGAAACAATTCAAGGTCAAGCAGAAGCAATCTTAAGAGAAAAGAGAAATTTTCCATTATTTGAACTTACAAAGCAATCTTTAATTTATTTATTTCATTTACTTTTATAGTTATTTATAGTTTATTTACTTTCCCTTATATTTTATCGGTTGTTAAAAATTCACTTAAATATTTTTTCAGGTCATTACATTATTTAAATTTTATCTGTTCACTATCTAAAGTGATAAAGAAGCAATGTGCAATTCAGCTATTTATTTACAATTGTGTATTAATTGAATTGTATCGCTGTCAGTCATTATCCCGCATAAATGATGGTCTAATTAATGGTTAACTAATTATTAGCTTTTCTATCAAAGAATCGTAGAATCATAGAAATGAGACATTGCATGAAAACGCTAAAATGCAAATAGAAAACCAACTTGTCGTGGCTTATCCCGTGTATCCACATGTCTAAATGCAATAAATAATACAAGCATGTTGAAAAGAAATCCAAAGATTGCACTATTTATATAAAAAATTTCTTCAAAAACTGTTGGCTCTTCATCCGCAGTACTAAATGCTTCGCAGTGAATCAATCCCATCGTTTCGTTATTCATGATTCTGTAAATTTTATCGATTTCAATTCCACAGTCGTAAAAACTATCGCAGTTGGATGATTCGAAATGACATTATGGCATTAGTAGTTGAATTAATAGATGGACTTCTGAATTTAATGAAGATATCGCAAAAAAAAGATATCATTTTGTCACAATTTCTATCAAAATGAACTGCTATTGGCAGTCATTATTTGTTTCATTGGATTTTCATTCTTAAAGCATATTTGAAAATATGCATTTACTCAACAATCCCATCATAATTCACAGTCATAATTGCTTGTTCGCATCTTCGTTGAATTCACTATGAGGACACAAGCAAGATTGCAGAGTGATTGTTGTTCAGATCATTGTTTAGAATTCGGCTCGTGTTTCCTATAAGAAATAGACCTGTCATCAAAAAATCCCGGCAATGCTGAGGGCTCATTTTTCTTTCGTCAGCTGACTCTCTGGAAAAAATTTCACGCTTATAGCTAATGGAAAGAACTTGACCAGAAATGGTATCATTAGCTTATTTTTTCTATAACGACATTATATAATTGATATGAAGCAAATTCAAAAAGCAATCTAAATTTATTTGAAACTAAAATCGATTATCAAATGAAATTCAATGATCATGGAAATTTTTCAGTCGTTATATCGTTATAATATAAATTATTTATTAAATTATTATAATATAAATTATCATAAATTATCATCATTGAAAATATAAATTAAATTGAATTAGTAAATTATTAATTATTAATTATTTATCAATTATCAATTAATTATTTATCAACTATTAATGGACATAATTTTTTTCACCTTTTTAACTTAATTCCCATTGAAGTAAAATATTCATTTTAATACATAAGAGATAAATATTTCCAGAGAATTTTATTTTTTGCAAAAAAAAATTTCTTAACTCGTCATCATTGTTTGCTAACGTTTATTCAAATCTTTTATGCTGTAATGAAGAAAAAATATAAAAAAGAAAAGTTACTGAAACAAATAAAAAAAAAATTAACAAAAAATGTGAACAGTAGAAAATGGCTAATTAAACACATCATTCAATCTCGTCTTTTAATGGCAAATTAACGAACAAAATAGTGGAATTTCAGGAAAAGATTATGTCCATCATTCGGATTTCTTATTTTGGTGTATTTAAGCGTAAGTTATACAATGGAAAAACACCTAATGCTCATAAGAAACGTTCTGATTCTAAATGATTTGAAGGAGCTTCGTGCATCTGTAATATGAATTTTTTCAACAACACAGGAAAAAAATTGAAATAAACGAAGGGAATTTTCGAATAATGCATGAATTTCACGAAAATTTAAGCATAAACTTAGCTATTTAGCAAATTTAGTCGAAAAATAAAGCGAGTTGTTCATGTTCAATATTAAACCTGGATAAATATAGCAGCGATATATGAAACTCAACTCCTAGCTCATCTTTAATAAAGAGGCTTTAAGATGCAATAAAACGAATTAAGTACCAATAATATATTAATCAATAATATATTAATTAAATAGAATTAAATAATTAAATATGATCATTAAATAAAATCGTATAAAATAGCGAAAGTTGCATTATTTAAACCAGAAAAGTGATTTAGAGATTCACACATGTAATACATACATAGCAGATATTAATTTTATGGCTAAAACTTTTTGATCAAATTGCATTAATGAAAAGCGGAAAGAGGAAAGGAAGGAAAAGGTGTTCTTTGATTAACTGAAATTTAAACCATACATTATTGCTGATCAAAGCAAAGTAAAGATAACAATTTTTTTGAGAGATAATTATTTGTATACTACGTGAAAATTTACAAATTAATTGATTTTCCAAGAAATTATTTTCGAAAAAAAAATTTTATCGTTGCGCTCGAATAATTTCGATTTTTTTCATTATAAATCGACAAATTTATTATTAAATATCATTTAAGTTTTACTAATGAAAAAAAACCTTAATAAAAATTTTAATTTTTTTCAGTTAGTTTAGGCTTTCGATTCATCAATGAGAGTTGTGCCCCTTAATTATCGAATTTTTGCACACAAACAACAAGTGCATATTGTCAATTTTTGCCATAAAATATAAATATATCTATTGTATATTGCAAGAATTTTGAGCTATATAACATAGCTAGTATAATATAACATATTAGCAAAGTAAAAATTTTATTAATTATTAACATGCCTTAAAATTTTTGTCAGGCCTTCCATTAGCGATATAAATAAATCCGGTTCGCTGAAACCAACCGGATTTTTTAATGACGACTTAGCAAAGATAAAGCCTGATTCTCGAGGCGATAATCTAATTGATAACCCTTTCCTCTCATCGAAATGTTAAATAACGATATAAAAAAAACTGGCCAAACGTGAAATTTGGAAAAGAAAACTTTCACTGCAAACTATTTGCATAATAGTGCACTATGATTCCATAAAAAATAAAGTTGTCAGTATAAATAAATAAAATAAATAAATAAATAAAAAGGAATTCTTCTTCTAACATCTTTCACCATTACTGATTAGGATCCGCTGGCTACAAGGGCAAGACGTCTTTAAGTTGCTCGATGCATCGCTAGTAATAATAGAAGCCATTCCTTTTTCCATCGTCTAACATATCCATATATCGCTGGTCCCCCTATACGCTCAAAATCTTCCTTGGCTGTATCAGTCCAGGGCTTCAGTGGCTCTCCTCGCTTTTGGCGCTAACCATCACAGGGTTTCGCAAGTAACGAAATATGTGTTAACTCCTGTGGTGAAAGATGGAGAACCTAACCAGCGAAGGCTACGCTGTGATATCATTATTAAGTAATAGTTGAGCGAAGATGGATACAATCATGTGCGATTTTATCCGCTTGACGGATATATCTTAGACATGAGTGGTCAAAAGCTGATAGCTTCTTAATATCTTCCATTTTCATTGGCCATGTTTCGCAGTCATATAGCAAGATCGAACTGCAGCTATTTCGACTCAGATTTTCGTCTTTATGGTAATTTTGCGACGGTTCCACAAAGATTTCATCAATCAGAAAAACAAATTTCTAGCTGTCGTTATTTGGGTTACAATTTCATCTTTTACATGGCCATTTGGGATTAGAATGGACCCGAAGTATTTAAAGTCTTTCTCAACCGACAATGAGTTGATAAAAATAGGTATTTTATCAGATCAGCTTCTTGTATATAATGCGAAAACACTTTCGCTTTATTTACATATTATTATATTATTATTGATTATATTATTGATTTTGAGTCCAATTCTCGCCGCAGTTGTTGACACATTGTTTAATATCATTTTGCAATCATAACTGACAGCAAAAAGGACTACATCATCAGCGTATTCAAGGTCTGTCATGCTCTGGACTGATTTGCACAATTCTTGAGTGCCGATAAGCAATATCCTTATCCAGTTTATCGCGTAGTTGAATATTGTAGGGGAAAGGATGCAGCCCTGATGGACATCAGTTCATATTTCGAAGGAGTCTGTCAGTTCCCTATTCAGGCAGACCTTCCCAGGATATGCTGAAAAATGAAAATGCCTTTATGAGCCAAGTGATCTTCTCTGGGATATCGTTACATTCCATCACTTTCCAGAGGATTAATTATTTAATTATTTATTATTATTATTTTAATTATCTTTTTATTTTAACTTCTTTTCGATCTAGCAAACGAATCGAAGGCAGCTATAAAATCGGTAAAGCAAGTGACGATGGATTGCTGGTATTTGAAGCAATGTTCCACCCTTCTTAGCGTTAATATCTGGTTAGCACAACCGCGATCTGAATCCAGCTTGGTTAGGACGCATTCTTCTAACTCGTTCCATGAGTATTTAGCAGAAGCAAAGTGAAAATTTTTCCGGAGATGTCTAGTAGGCTGATTCCTTGGTAATTGTCGCAGTACGTCCTGTCACTTTTTTTAGGAATTAGAAACAGAATTGCTTTACAGTTTTCTGCAATCTTCTGGTTATTTCCTTTTGCGATACCAGAGAATACATTTATTGAAGTATGAACGATGAACGGACAACATTTGAAGAATTGAAGACCATCTTCTCCGGGAATTTTATTTATAAGCTTATGGATTGCATAGATTATTTCTGTTATGACGGTTTACAATTGCAAATGTAAGGCTTGACGGACGAATCAGTTATATTCGGGACAACAGGTGGCGCATCATGGTTAAGTTTGGCCTCAAAAAATTCTTTCCATCGTCTGAAGCGATCCTTAACAGTTTTAATAAGCACCCCATTAATATCCCGTATCATTTCACTGACTCCTTCTCGAGATATAGTTGCTTTGCGAAGAAAACGAAACGACGGTTATCAGTTTCCCTATCAAAGCTATCATCTATCCATCATCTATTCATTCTCAAGGCCATATCGTTCCAATAGCGATTTCCCGCCGTGCTGCTGTCGTTGTAATTCTTCAAAGCACCCGATAGTCAGGATCTTCTAACATCCGGGCGTTAGCGGCTTTTTCAGACAGCTGCTTCTGACACACAACTAGCATATTTCTTACTATTATACCCTAATGTGGCAGTGGCTGACTTTGTAAGCATGTTTTTAGTTAAGACCAGTATTCATTCGCCTTTCCAGGTCATTGACATTCATTTCACTGAGGTATTCGATAATGCGCTTATTGTTCCCGAATATGAGATAGTTGAAGGATCTTGGGATACGATTTTTACGACTTACGATTTCTTACGACTTGTCAATTTTATATAAATCTTGGCTCGAACCATAATATGATTTGATCCATGACGGTTATCAATTTCAGCGCGCCCCGATAAGAATGACTAGTAAGAACTCTTCTAGCGATGATATTATATAGTCAATATATATATATATATATATATATTTAACCAATATATAATCAATCTGATTGGAATATTGGTTGTCCGGAGAGTTCCAAGTGACTAGTGATGTTTCCTCTAATGCCGAAAATATAGTCACAAAGAGTTCTCTTCGACAAAACGAAAAAGGCGTTCTTCATTGGCGCACTGGACCACGATGCCATATTTGCCAATT